AGCAAAGTTAACCTGTCCTCCCTGCCTCCCTGCCTTCCTGCCTCCATGACTTCTTCTGACTCCCCTTGTCATGCTAGGCCAGGTGTTGCTGTAGAGGTTATGTCCCAGGACTGAGCATGCCCACTCAGGTTCTTGCCCCTAGAGTTTTTGCTTCCAGTTCTGGACTTTTCACCAGAGACGCCCCTCCTCCCCAATCTAGGAATGGAGAAATAGTGAGGAGAGGAGTGGTTGCCATCCAGGAAGGTCCTGCAGGTGCCTCGCATGGGTCAGAACTCACCCACCATGACTCAGAAGAACTCAAGGCTAAACACAGCAACTCAAGGGATGCTGGCACAGAACTGCAGGGTGAGAGTTGCCCCCCACAGCAATCCTATGGATTCTGAATGCCCAGAAGTGACAGGAACCTCTGCAGCACCTGTGCCTAAGGATGACTCTCAGGCCAAGGAGAAGGATTTGGTCAAATCTCACCGAAGAAACTCATTGAGTATTTTTTCCCATGCTCAATCTGAGGTGGTGCTAAAGAAATAATAAGAAACAAAGAGTAGACAGGCCTTTAATGCAGGCACAGGACAGCTGCAAAAGGGTGCAAGGGCTTTTGGAACAAAGATGTGAGGCTACTTTTATCAGGTCTGGCTCAGGGAGGAGATTGGAAGGTGGGCAAAATGATATATCAACAGCTGATTTGAAGGAGCATCACCTGTGCAAAACAGGAAACAGAGAGACTTACTGGGGGCTGTGGGTGGAGGTTTGGGTGGTTGTGGAGTTGAGATTAGGGAGGGCTCCATGCATGCACCAAAAAGGAGTGGGAGGTTTATTTCTGGAATGAGGAGAACATAGAGGTTACTCTTGGAGAAATTAAATTACTTCTCTGGGTCTAGTACCAAGTTGGGAGGATGTTGTGTTACTTTGTCCCCCTCGAAGTCTGTGCATTTAAGGCTTAGTGCTCAGGGTGGTGGTTTTGGAAGATGGCAGGAGCTTTGAGAGGCAGGCACGAGGGAGAGATATTTTGGGAGGGGGCAATATTAGGATAGAGTGGTGATCCTAGCAAGTTCTCTTTCACTTTTGACTTTGAGACAGGGTCTCATCAAGTTGCCCCCAATGGCCCTGAACTTGTGAACCCCCTGCCTCAGTTTTAGAAGCATAGTAGCTAGGTTACGAGTATGCACCACTACACCTGGCCCTGGAGGGAGGTCTTTGGGTCACTGCCAGGTCATTGCTTCCGAAGAGGCTGTGGGATGTTGGCCTCTTCTCCTTTCTTTCTTTTGCTTCCTGGCCATGAGATAAGCAATTTTCTCTGCATGTTCACCTGCCCTTATGTGTTCTCCACAGGTCCACAGCAAAGATGAAAGAAACCAATTATGGACTAGAACTTCCAAATTCAGAGCTTAAGCAGGCCATTTCTCTCTATAAGTTAGTGCCCACAGGCATTTTTTATAGTGCAGAGAGATGATCACTATGTGGTCAAATGATTCCCCAAAGTAGAGGGTAATCAAGTCCTAAGAGAATTTCAATAGGTTTTCTTGGAGGTGAGTGGAGGTGGCAGGGACATAGATGACATAAGTGATAGAAGGATCTGGTCAGGCTTGGGAGCCTCTCATTTACCCTCAGGTTCTCCTTTCTCAGCCCACTTGGCTTTGCCCCAACTTTTAAAATAACTTCTGTCCTCCAGGACTTCTGAAGATGATCAGAGCCTAAGAAGAATTCCCTGTCCACCAACAACAGGAAAAGCAAGACAAAGTTATCAATTTCATGAGTATTCTGATAAAAAACGTTCAAATAGCAATAAGATACATTGTAAGCTAGGGCATGGTTGGGGTGGAATTGTTTCTAAGGGAATATACAGTTTTCTTCCTGGCAAGTATGAGGTCATGAATTTGATCCCCAGGAATATACAATTTTAGCACAGTATTTTGAGCATGTAAGACCAAATGATTCAGATTTCAGATTAAAAGGCAATGTTTTCACAGATATTGGTGCCTGATATTTAAAAAATAACAAGAAACACTCAATTGGGTTCTCTGATTGTCAAGACCCTATAAGAGGACATGTCCATCACGAGTGTATACATTAGGCTCCTACAGCCTGACACCTAGAAACCCCTCCCTCTCCAATGAAGTCTCCTTGTTTTTATTTTCTGCCTAACATAATAGCCCTCCGAGAGTGATCTGGTGCCCTTTCTTGTTCTGCCTGTAGGGGACCAAGCTAGTTGCCTATGTGACAAAATGAATGGGTTGACATTCTAAGAGTGTTGGCTCCCAGAGCCAAGTGTATGTACTACTTGACAAACTGACCTTGTGAGTGGATATGGACCTACCCTAACTCTACTAAAGTCTTAGGTCCCTTCCAAAGGCCCAAGAGAGGCCATAGAAATGCATACATGTGGTCATATTTTTTGAAAAATTTGCAAAATTAGGGTACTTTAAGCAAAGTGCTTCTTCTCTGCCATGCTTTCTCTGATAGCCAGTAACACTGAAGTAGCTGTGGGAATTTAAAGAATTCCCTCTTAACTTCAGCTAAGGGGAAGTTGAAGTAGAGATCTGGGCAGTTTAGGTTTATGTGTTGGATAGCTTTCTATTACTGTGACAAAACACCTGAGACAATCAACTTAAAACAAAGAAAGATTTATTTTGGCTGATGGTTTTAGAAGTTTTAGTCTATCGATGCTTGGCCCTGTTTTTTGGGCCTATAATGACATAGGGTATCATGGTGGCAGGAGAGTGTGGCAGAAGAAACCTGTTCATCTTATGGCAGTTGGGAAGCAAAAAGAGAGAAGCAGGAGTCTGATGCCAATATTGCCTTCAAAGACACACCCAATGACCTCACTTCCTCCACTAGGCTCCTCCTTTTAAAGGTCCACCACCTGTCCATAGTGTCATAGGCTGGAACCCAGCCTATATCACCTAGGCCTTGGGAGATGTATAAGCTTCAAATTATGGAAGTTTAGGCTGATATTTATGTGGTTTGCAGTCATCTCTGTTCCCAGTTAGATTACTGTTAGCTCTTGTCACCAGCATGGTGATAAAATTTTAAGGCTGGTGGTCAGATCTTAGGGTAAAATGTGTTGTTCATGGAGGAGAAACCAGACCTCAGATGTCCAGAGCCAGAAACTGGTCAGTGGCAGTGATGTCCAGTTGTCAGCTGTGCACTGTGAGCAGGAGATGTGGTTTGCAGTGGTGCTGGATATTCTGCTACTCAGAGTGTATCTGAGGGTAAAACACTGCAGTTGGCCCTTGCTACCATGAATTTCATACCTGTAGATTCACCCTGATAAACAGTTAGGTTTATGATGCTTGTTTCTGTACTAAACACACTCAGATCTTTTTCTTGTCATTGTTTTCTAAATAATATGATATAAACTACTTATATAGCATTTACATTGTACTGGGTGTTATAAGTCATCCAGAGATAATTTAAAGTAATGGGAGGGTGTGCAATGATTATTTTCAAAGATTACACCACTTTGTACAAGAGACTTGACATCTGAAGAGTGTGGTATTCACAATTTGTTCTAGAACCAAATCCCTGTGCATCCTAAGGAACAATTGTACACTCATATCCACATTGCACTTTAACATTGTGTTTATTGAAATAGATTTGCATGTGGTGGTTTATTTGGGAAGCAATTCTAGAAGTAGGTATTCAGGGAAGGAAATGAGCAGAGAGAGCTGAACCTGTGGGGCCCCTAAGAGGTGCACAGAGTGCTCCCTAAATTGACCTCTCACAGGGGAGGTGGTGCCTCCATACCCTGGTCCCAGGCTTCCTCTTGAGGGCAAATAACCCCACCCTTCTGGGTCATGCCAAGCTGATTGCCCAGGGTAGAATGCAGAAAGGCGTGCCTGTTGGTGGGCCTGCGCATACCCAGAGTGACCACTGAATGTGTGGCCACTTTTGGAAGCAGGTAAGGAGGACAGCACACAGATAAGGATGTTGTTCAACAGAATTGATTAGAATTCCTGTGCTCATACTGACAGAAACTTACACCAGTACAGCTATTCCTTGGTATAGCTGTAGGGTGGTTCCAAATCAAGATGCTCAAGTCTCTTGTATAAAATGCTTATAACTGCTGGAAATTTAGATCAATGGCATAGGCACCTGCCTGGAAAATGTGAGGTTGTGAGTTCAATCCCGAGTACCCCACAAAAAAATGCTTATAACCGACATCCTCCTGTATGCTTTAAGTCATCTCTAGATTATTTATTGTGATGGTCAGTTTTCTATTACTATAGGAAATATCCAAGCTAATAGATTTAAAGAGAAGAAAGGTTTATTTTGGAGGTTCCAATCCATGAGCAACTGGCCTCATTGTTCTAGGTGTGGTGGGAGCATGTGGTAAAAGAGACTCATTCATCTTATGACTGAGGGCAAAAGAGAGGAGGAAGGGGTTGGGCACCCACTATTCCCATCAAGGGCACAGCCTAGCTACCTCAAACCTCTCACCAGGCCCCTCAAAGTCCTTACCACCTCCCAAGAGCTTGTAGCAGAAGACTAAGTCTTTAACACATGCAGCTTTTAAAGACCCAAAATAAACAAAAATATTCTTATTTTTACTAGGACATGTCCATGTAATAGTGCCATGTAAGTAGTGGTTATACTGTGTTGTTCAGGAAATAATGACAGATATATGCACATGTTTTCAGTACAGGTAACATTTTTTTCCCCAAATATTTTTGAACTTCAGTTGCTTGAATTCACAGATGCAAACTGGTGATATGGAGGACTGACTGAACTATGAAGGCAGGGGGTCTTTAAAGGAAATTTGAAAGTTGAAGACATGTTGGGGCATGTTAGCCCTTGGGAGACTGAGACAAGAGGATCGAAAGTTTGATGCCAGCTTGGGATACATAGTGAGGCTCTGTCTCAAAAAATAAAAACAAAAACCAAATCAAAACAATAGCCAAAGGATATTTGGTAGAGGTCTACCCAGTGACAACAATCCTGAATAATAGACACAACTTCACCCATCATGGATTTGTGTAGCTGGAATTAAAGCTTTTAAACTATCAACAAGAAGGAACAAATTTTATTTTTCAGTGCTTCCTATAGGCAATGATATCACAAAATCATTGTTATAAAGAAGAGGCAATCAGATCATGCAGGTAAAGAATGTAAGAAAAAGTTTTAACCAAAAACAGTGATCATATCTATGGACTTTGTGGGCTTATGGTACTTGCTGACTTTTAAAGGTTATTACTTAGTTATGAGTCCTGTTCTCCTTGTAGATAACTATTTGAGTTTGTATGGAATTTTGTATTCAAGGTTTTGTGCTCGGTTTTGAAAGTGGATGCATGAAACCTCGGCAGACATTGCCTGTGAGTGTCTTTGGCAGCTCTCCTCTGCAGAGGCCCCTGTTAATGCCGTCCGTGGCCACCTCGAAGTCACCTTCACTGGTTACACCAGACCCCATGAAAGGCCAAGTCCTGTAGGGTGGCATCTGTGTTTGTAGAAGCTCCTTTAGGAACAATTAACGTTGAAGGGCACAGAAATATCCCTTCCTGGAACGGTCCCCAAAGTCTCTTATTAAAGGTCATTTCAGGGGTAGCGGGCAGGAAATTGAACCCGGAAGCATAAAGTGTCACACTGCCTTTTAGCCATACTTTAAATAGAGAGGGGAGGGCTTCACAAAGATATAGGAAGAGGATCCTCGGTGGCCTGATGGCAGCCTCCAGGGTGGACTGTTGAGTGCATCCAGATTTGTGCTGCCCAGGGAAGCTGCTCAGTGCCCACCTTGGTCCCCAAACACCTGCTCAATCCGGGAATTGAATGGATTCTCCTTTCCCAGGACCTGGGGCCACTGGAGCTGCATTTTCTTCCAGAAAAGTTCTGCCAACAGCAACAAAGCCACCTGCAAAAGACAGTCAAAAGAGCAAGGCAAAGGGAGATTACCAAGAGCGAAGACTTGCTAAGCAATGCTTTCTCTAAAGGGCAGACCCCAGGATCGTCTCTTCCATCCCTGCCACATTTTCTCTCTGCGTGATTCCCCTCCCTTGGCATTGGTGGGGGACACTGTTGCTCTGTCCTAATCAATGGAGGTGGTGGGGGACAGATGTCACTTCAGTGATTCTGCCACATTATGGGGGAACTTGGCCTCACCAGGGGGCTTGCTCTGGGGAATTCTTGCTGGGCTGATGTGAAGACCCATGTATCTGTGCTGAGGGTGACATCCAGACACAAGCTGGGGTCCTCCAGCCTCAAGGAAATGCAGATGTTAACCACTCAAATGAGTCTGAACTCAACCCCCCCCCCCAACTAAGTCTCTGGATGAGGACACAGCCTGGATAAACCACCTGGGGTTTGGTTTTATGAGATTTAATTAAGCTCTGACCCCACAGAAACTACAAAAGAGACCGTGTGCATTATTTTCAGTTGTTAAATTTGCAATAAATTATTGCGTGGCGATACATAACACATACACTTTCTGAGGAACCCTAGTCTACCTTATCTGTTAGCTGCTCCTGGCTGCAGCCAAAGGTTTTGCTAAACCCTTTTCTTGGGGAACCTGCACAATGAGGCCACTGAACCCCAGGGAGGGCTGTGATGACAGGAGCAGTGACAACACCACTGGATGCAGGGTGGCAGGTACAGGTGATGCTGAGCTGAACTTTCAAGGAGGGAGTGGGGGATGAGGCAGGACAGGGGTGGTCCCTGATGGGGGTGGTATCATCTGGTTGCCGGATCCTCTGGTCCTCAGCACATTGTGTTTGTGTTGAGAAGGTGCCTCCTCTGCAGGTAACAGCCTCATTCAGCATAGGCCCAGCCTGGTCTTTGGGCCCCCAGTGGCTACATCTCAGCAGTAGCTTTTAATGCTGAACCGTAAGAGAAATGAGATTGCCAATGGGTGTGCCTGACTTTATGGCAAAGCACAAGGATCTTGTCTCCACTGGGCACCCCACAGCACCCCATTCTGGTTGGCAGTTGCTGTCTGATGGCCCTCTCATACTCTCTGATTCCAGCTCTCTCATTTGCACAGTGAATGGACTGGGGGTTGTGATCCCACATTGGATGTAATATTGTAGTAGTTCTTGGAGAACAATGAGAACTGATTGGTTCACTGAATGAAAATATTCCCCAGTGTTTTGATGAGTTTTCTGTGGTTCTGAAATTCTTTGAACCAAGCATGTCATCCTGGTCACAGTGCCTAACATCCCCATCCCTACCCACATCACACATACACACACACACACCCATAGACACACACACAGTACTTCAGGGCAGGAGAAAGTCCACGGCTGCCTGTCACACTGGCCACTTTTCTTGGCTCATCTGCCACACGGAGCCGTCAGTGTCCTCACAGACAGAGGCCTGGTCTGGGGCTGTTTTTCCTGACATTTCTCAACAAAGGAGGCTGCCACCAGGTCTGTGGAAAATTACCAGCTCTTTTCTTTTTGCATTCAGGTCGATAAACCTGAGCCATCTTCCTAGTAATTACGAAGTTCCCAAGGCATCTGTGGGCATTTGTTTCCCTATCTATGGTAATGAGGAGAGAGGGGTGAGGGTCAGGGGAGGCAAAGAAAATCAACGAGCGCATGGTAACTGCTTTGAAAGCAATTAGTTGGCTGTCACTCTAACTGAGATGAAAACATTTATGAGCGGATGCTGCTAAAATACTGGTCTAATATGAGAGAGGCAAAGTTGTCACTAGACTGGCAATGTAGGATCCAGTGATCCACTTCACTCCTTCCTTCCTTCCTTCATTCATTTGTTTGACTCATATTTTCTGGGCACCTACTGGGGACTCCTCATATGACCTGTCTCTTGTCGCCACTCCTGTGGGACACCACACGGGGTGAGGCACAGCTCTTTTATACCCCAGTGTTTCTTGAATGCAGATCTCTTTGTGCTCCTTTAACACGTGAAAGCAGTACCCGGTCATTTTGGGAACTCTGAAGCAGAAAATTAAGCAAAGGGAAGCGAACAGATTCGGAGTTGTCTGTACTTAGAACAGAGGTGGTTTCTTCTAACACTGGATGGAAATTTTCTAGATACGCAGGCACACACACTGCAAACACACAAGTGGATCCTCTGTGAATATCATTTTACAGCCTGCTCTTTTTGAGGCATTAGGCACCAGTGATATTAACTATTTCTTGTCAACAATTCCATGAGTGTTGGAAGAGGTGCACAGTAGTCTAATTGCCCCACAATCTGGATTCCACTTTTTTTTATTCTAGTCTCTGTTTCCAACATGTGTCTCTGTTGATCTGTGCTACCGTGGAGGTAGATGTCTATTGTGTCTGCTCCATGAGTGGTATTCCATCAGATGGAGGTAAACTGACTTCTGTCATAGTTGAAAATGTTGCTGCACATTTGTCCCAAGGTATTTGTTCTAAGGACAGGGGACAGGGCACTCAGCTTTGCAGGGTAGAAGGGCTCCGAACTGTCTGGTTTATCTCCCTTGCTTACCTTCCTGGACACAGATGGGGAGGAGGTGGGGTCTTATAGAACACTGGGAAGGATGCCCTGGTGTCCTGGGACCCTTCTGTACTTCTTTCTTGATAGTTAAAAGACTGTCTCGTGCAGTGTCATGCAAACATGGCATCATGCAGGAAGCTGAAATGGTTTCTGAGCTCACCCCTCAGCTTCTTGTCATAGAGTGTGATATTTTATTGAATTTCTCGATGCTTGGGGATTGCGCCAGTCACCTTTCTCTTGGCTTGTGGTCACTGTTTGGGATCTGAGATTAATGGAGTCACCCTAACTCTGGGATGTGCTGGATTTGGGTTTCTTGAATGAAAACTGTATGCCAAGACCTTGCTTTCCTGTCTTCTCTGTCTGGTCCCTTTGATTGCTTTATTTTTTAAAAATATAATTAGCTTGGAAGTTTCACAAGTGATTTTTATTTTTCTTTTCCTTCCAGAGCAGCTTTTCAGTGTCTGCTTTTTCTTTTCACTGGGATTATGACAAAATCACCATCATCCTTCCAACACCCATACGGCAGTACCATTCTCCTAACCTGATAGAGCTCTATCCACCTGGTGTGATGGACCAGCCTGTAGGATGGCGTTGGCAGGGTGTTTCCACCTCACTGAGCACAATTACTGCAGGGCTCCTCTGCCAACCTACTGGGTAGACTCTGAACGAGGAGCCAGTTCCTGGCCCCACCCCAGCAATTCTGATGTGTGCTATAGTTTGAGCACCACCACTTCCAAACTGCATTATTTACTTACAGAGACCATGTCTGAGTTTTAAGGAGCCAGAATTGGTGGATTTTATTGGATTTACTGTGCCAGCGCAGCAGATGGATCCATTTTGACCAGGGAGATTTGAGAAAAGCAGGAAGAATCAAGGATTCTGCAAACCCCAAGCACCTCTCCCTGGGGTTTGGATAACATCATCAGGCAATAAAGACTGGCTTGATGGGCTCTGGACTGATGCAGGACCTTGGCTAGGTGCACAGAGACCAGATGGCTGCCACTTCTAGCTGGTATGGTCCTTCCTCTAGGTAACACCACATTGGATGGGACCTGGGTCTCAGTGGGCTACCCTCACTGCACCTGTCTGCTCCTGGCTGGAAGCCTCCCTATTTCCAAAGCCATGGTCTACCTTGAATGTTTTGCTCTTCTGTGAAATTCCCATAGAAAGGACACCAAACAGGAGGATGTCACAGGCTGCTGTTTTATCTAAGTTTTTGTGGACTTTTTCAGTTTTTATTTGCAGCCTTTGACCTCCCCAGAGTGGGAAGGGGGTGGAGGTTGGTGAAGTTTTTTGGTCAGGTCCTTGTCAACAGCTTTCAGAATTTCTCCTCCCTTGGGATGGCAATGTTCATATTAAGCTATGATTCTTGGCCTAACTACATTGTTACCCATGAAGAGTGATCTTCTAGGGGGGCTTCAGTTCTCCAAACACATGCCCCCATGCCAGGTCTACTCCACAAGTTCAAGAGATACCAGGCTCCTTTGGGACAAAAGCCCCTTTTTGGTCACCAGCAAGCCCAGTGTGGGTTTGCACGCATCTTGTCTCTGTGAAATGCTCCGCACAGGCTCCAAACTAAAAATGAAGTTAGGAGTCAAGGTGTAATTTCTACCTCCCCCCCACCAATTTTCACTTCAATTTGATTGGATTTTTTGTCTTTATGTAGCTATATTGTCTCAAATCCTCTCTGGAGAAAAACAGGATAAAACCAAACACACACGAACGTGTTTAAAGAATAATCACACAGGTGGCCACCGGCAGCCTCCACGATGCACTCACCTCATTAGGGTGAAATCCATCCACGGGCTCGATGAGCTGCCAGGGCTGCCCACCTCGTCTCTGCCACTCTTCTACCACTATAGGACACACAGAAGGGAGCGGGGTTACACACACGAGTGCACAGCCATAGCCCATCCCCAGGCAAGGACCATGCATGGGAAGTGTCACTGACATTACCCCTCAGGCCCCTGGAACCAGCCATGCCCTCCTCTGAGTTGTTGTCTAGGGCTAGGATATTTCCGGACAGAAATCACCTTCCTCTGGTGTGATGCATTTTCATTTTGTTTTGTTCTTTTGTTTGTTTGCTTTGAGACAACGTTTTACTGTGTGTTGCAGGCTGGCTTCGTGGTGCTCCTGCCTCAGCCTCTCAAGTGCTGGGGTTACCTGTGTGACCACTGTAGCTGAGTCTATCTTCCTTTTCTAACTCAGGAGTAGAAGGCAGGATAGTGCTGGGTGAGTGTGGTTTGTGTAGCAGGAAGAGGAGAGGAAAAATGGCTCTAATGGTGATTTCAGTTCCTCTCGCTTCTCTGTGGCCTGATAGCACAGTGTTGCAGGAGGTTAAATCTTGGTACTTTGTTAACATCTGTCCTGGACTGCTGCATGCAGACACTTCTCGCCTGTGTCAGATGATCACCTTGAGCCATGGGGCAGCAGGTCATGACACAACTGCATAAAATCATCTCAGCATTGCAATTTAGAGAGAGCATGGCTGCAAGGCTGCAATGGGACACAAAGCAATAAAGCTGTCCTTTGACATGGACAACGCGTGCTAGTTGATCAAGGAAATGATGCAATGAACTCCATGCTGCTAGAAGTGAGTGCTCCCCAGGAAAATACCACAGCCAGAGGGTGGCCCTGGGTGGGCACTTGCCTGGCTCCTCTCCTGATGTTTTGAAATTCTGATGTCCAGAAAGCACAGCTGGGAGACTTCTAGTCCTTTCCATGCCCCAGAAAACACAAGGACAGAGGTCGGTACCATCCTCTCCTCATTTTGTCCAGAGAGGATTAAGATGCTATGGGGCTTTGTGCAAGGGAAGCCTGACTTTTGCGAATGGGAACAGGACCAAAAGATGGAGGGGGAGGAAAGGGAAGGAAACGGAGCTAAGATGTGTTACACACATGTGCCAACATATGACACTGGCAGTCTGCCTCTTTGAGAAGACCCTGACCACAGCCGAGCATGTGCACATCCCTATCCCAGACTTCCAACCTCCAGATTGGTAAGAAATCAGTCTCTGTTGTTTAGAAGCTACTCATGTTATAATGCTTAATTATAGGAGATGCAGAGCCTCCTAAGGTAGATGTGGAAAAATTACCAAGCATTGCTCATGAGACCAAGGCTAGTAGGTATGGAGCCCCATCTGGACCTCAGACAGAGCCTGCTCGGAGGGGGCAGAGTTGGGTGGAGAAGGTATAAGGTGAGGCCACCTGTGTTTGTGACCTACAGCAAGCTACCATCCTACCAGGAACTCTAGTGTCCACTCGTCCTATGGGGGAGGAAGCCTTACTAAGACTTTGTGACTTTCTGTGCTTCTAGAGAAGGCTGAAGGATAAGTTCACTCAATGCCTGTGGCTTCCATGGTCAAGAAAAATCCAGAAAAGGATTAGGGGCACCGGGAGATCATGAAACCCCAGAGGAAATGAAAAGAAGCCAGGATTGTGTGGGGAGGATTGTTTACCAGCAGCACTGTGTTAGAAAGGCCAGATTTGCTTCTACATGAGTTTCCTTGCATGTGATTCAATTTTGGCACTGGGCTTGAAGCTAATCTAGGCTATTTTTATCTTGATATGAATTATGTGTGTTACCAACAGCAAAGAGGAAATTCGGCCCTTGGAGATGTTGACAGAGATCCTCATGGGGTAAACAGACATAATTTTGTGTGTTTCCTCCTAATCAGGATTAATGAGTCCTTTCAAAATGAGAACTCCCTAACTCCCTTTGGAGGCTTGGACAATCCCGTAAATGGTGGTGGTACTAGTGGGGTTACAAATAGAAGATACAAGAACAAAAGCATAAAGAAAAGGGAGCGAACATACACTTGCCAGGTATTATTATTATTATTTTTGAAGTACTGAGGTCAAACCTAGGACCTTTGCATTGAGCTACATCCTCAACTCTTTACGTTTTTTATTTATTTTTTAAATTAAAAAATTTTTAATGATGTTTAATTTTGAGACAGTGTCTTACTAAATGACTAAATTGCCAGGGTATGACTCAAACCCTGATCCTCCTGCCTCAGCCTTCCAGAGCACTATGATTTCAGGCATGCACCATGATACTGGCTTATCTGCCATATTTTGCCTTGGAACAGAGCTGTGTGCTAGGATGGGGGCCAGTGGAGGAAGGCTACGTTTTAGTATCACCAGACTCTGCAGATTAAATGGCACCCATAATAACATATTCCTTCCTGTCAGGAAACTTATTCCTTTCCCCTCTCCTATATTTGTGGAACAAGAGAATACAGGCTGTAGAAGAACTGTCTTCCCATATAAAATAATACAGTATGTATTAAAAGAAAAAGCCATAAGATTACCAAGACTACAGTGTATAAACAGTGCGAAACATCATTTTCTCAATGATTATTGTATCTTGAGCACTCTGGTCGCTGTATAGAAGCAGACATCAGGAGTGTGAAAATGTGAAGGTGGCCGTGGTGACTATCAGAAAAAGGTATGAAGGTTTATCTGTACCTTCACTATTAACAGACAGAGTGACTCTTTTAAAAAATTCTCAGGATGAAGCTCAATTCTCAAGAAAAATGCATCAGACGATGATGGCCTTCCAGTCCCTTGATGATTTGAAAGTGGCAAGTGTAATCAAGGGTACAAGGTACGCTGGTCACTTTCTTTCCTACCTGCTCTTCAGAAGACCTGAATTAAACTTCTGCAACCATCACAGACCATCTGTTGGGATTTGCGGTGTAATGTATTTTCTCGATGTGTAAGGTCAGAGCAATTCTCCTAATCACCAGCATTTCCAAGATGCAATGGAAATGGAAGAGGGACAGTCACCAGGTACTTGGTAGCTCTTTGATGCACAGCAGCACTAGCAGGGATTTTAAAGGGAAATGGGCAGTGTGGTCAACCTCGGTCTTTGCTAAGGGGACCATGGGGAGGGTGGAATGAGGACCAGGTTTTTCCCAGTTGAGTTGTCTGCATGGCCTAAGGCAGTTGGAGGGATATTTAAACTGTCAGTATAACCTCTGCCTTGGAGGAATGGTGGTGTAGACAAAGGAAAAAGAACATTATCTGCTCCAGCTGGCATTTCCTGGAGGGAGAGAAACTGGCCTGAGAATGTGTCAGCATAAGATGGGAAGTTTCTATGGAGAGAAACTTTCATCTTCTAATGCCAGCCTGAAGGTGTCAGAGTGGGGAATAAACAGGTCTTGTGGCTTTTCTCAAAGGACAGAGACCCTTCACCAAAATGTCCTCTGTCACATGGTTGTGAGACGGTGAATTTCAGTGTCAGGAAAGAGGAGGGGTCCGGGATGCACTGGCCTGCTCAAATAGAGCACTGAGATGAGAAGGGAGAATCCTGTGTGGCTGGTCAGGATGCTGAGTTCCTAAGTCACCCTGGGGTTTCAGTTTCTGATTAAAGGAGAATTCAGTGACAACAAACTGCAATTCCCCAGTGTCTTCCTTGAAGGAAAAGTCATCCTGGCATGAGTGGCAGTGAGGGGAGGTGGGCGAAAAGGCAGAAGGGAAGCAGTGTTCATGATCGGTGGGAAGTCAGACTGCCTTCCATACATCCGTGGGGACAGAGTGGGCAGCAGCTCACAGCCACAGAGCTCTTATTCCCCTGCAAGCTTTGTCTCACTCTCTCCTTACACAGCCCCTGAGGTTCAGTTATTGCTACCTTCCGTCAAAAAGACACAAACACTGATGATCATTAGCTCACTCCTGGGTTCACAGCTCCTCGAGTCTGCGCTGGATGAGAGCTCTAGGCTGCTGTTATCCAACAACAACTGGTAGGTTCCCAGGAAGACGCATGCACAGGCCTTGGAGGTCACCCACAAAGATGGGCCCAGCAGCCGAGGGCCCTCTGCTAATCTGGGGACAATGAAAAACTTTTAAGATAAGTCAATGACATTGTCATAGTTCTTGAAAAGTAGGTAAAAGTTCTGGCTCTTTCCAAAGTAGATATGGCTGCACCTGGGCATTAGATGTAGGCCAATGCATCAAATGTTTATTAGGCAGGGCCCATGGAGCTGTCTTTCCGTCTCCATCTCCCTTTCACTGTGTCCATTTGTTGTCCCCAGAGGGTACCCTCTGATTCATAGCAAGAAGACCAAGAAGATCCTGGACCAACACTGGATCTTCACACTTAGTTCTTTTCTTTTCTTCCCCTCTTCTCTTCTCTTCTCTTCTCTTCTCTTCTCTTCTCTTCTCTTCTCTTCTCTTCTCTTCTCTTCTCTTCTCTTCTCTTCTCTTCTCCTCTCCTCTCCTCTCCTCTCCTCTCCTCTCCTCTCCTCTCCTCTCCTCTCTTCTCTTCTCTTCTCTTCTCTTCTCTGTTTTCTTTCTTCCACACTAGGGATGGATCACAGGGGCTTTGCACTGAGGTCCTTTTAAATTTTATTTTGTAAAATTTTGAGGCAGAGTCTCATTAAGCTACTTAGTTGCCCAGGCTCGACTTGAACTTGCAATCTTGCTTGCAATCAAAAACCTGCTTCAGGTTCTTGGAGTGATGGAATTGCAGGTGCATGCCTGCCATGCTGATTCTGTGCATCAAAGAGCTACCAAATACCTGATGACTCTCCCTCTGCCATTTCTGTTGCATCTTGGAAATGCTGGTGATTAGGAGAATTTCCCTGACTTTACACATCAAATAAAACAAATGCATTGCAAACAGGAGGTTCCTTGAACTGTCAATGGAAATCTACAAGCAGGGGCAATACCTGGAAGGTTGCAGCCATGTTAATGTAGCAGCTCTGGTTCAGTCTAACCCAGCTTTTTTGCTGTTGAACTGCATTTATTGTGGCTGTGAGGACAGGAGAGAGATGCTTTACATCTCACTAGCTCCCTAGTGGGATGCTGGCTGGGTTGCATCAAGGATAAAGCTCATCTCTCCAATCCCTCCATGGAGAGAATTCTGTTTGGTTGACATTTACATTCTCAGCATCTACACAGTCCTTGACATGGAGATGACCTAGCAAAAATCTGGTGACTGAGTAAGTTTTTAATCATAGAGTATTGGAGAGCTCCAGTACTGAACTTTAGTGGCCATAGAGATGACCTGTAGGTTGTATGGTAATGCAGATTCTGATTAGGTGGGATTCTGCATTTTAATCCGCCTAGGTGGTACTAGTTTTTCTCACCCAGAATCACATACTGACAAGGGTGTCAGGCTACGTTTCTCTTTCCTGCCACTGGGTGTGTACTAAGCACAGCATTTATGAGGACAATACATATTGTGTAATCATTAGATTTGCTAAGTAGATGTGGATGCCCCGCATCCAAGTGTGGAAATGGGAGGCCAGAGATTGTCAGAGTGCTGCTGCAGTCCCAGGGATCATTAATGATATGGATGGGTGTCACTCTGAAAGCAAAAAGAGTCCTGGGTGAATGTTAGACATTATCATATTTTTAATCGCTTTATCTACATGCAAGATTGGTGATGATCAAAGATCACCTGGTGGTACATTTGTTTACAACAGGATTTCATTAGTCAGTCTTCAGCTTTGCATTTCAATGAGAGGTTATTTATCAAAATGTCTCTCCCCATGAGAGAAATGCACATCACGTAGGCAAGAAATCTTGTTAAAGGAGATGGGTCTTGTTGAAAAGACGTTAGTATTGAAGTACTGGAGTCTTCAATGCATGGCGTGTCAGCTAATATAATATCTGATAATTCATGGTGGCCATCTGCTCCATTCCAGATGCTGGGGCCGGAGGGTGGGGGTGGAGGCCGGAGATGATAAACTCTGGATGAGAAATCTTCTGTCCTTTGCATACACCGTAAAGCTTTTCATTAGCATTATCTCAGCTGGCAGTCAATCAATGGGGGGCTTTTCTCTGGTAGAAGAATTGCTTAGCAATGAAAATAAATCTGGATGGGCTACAATCAATAAATAATACTTTGCACAGTCAAGACGTACAAAATAAATCAGTAGCTTTGGTCACCATGCTGTTTTCTGTGGGGCCACTTGTCAATTACTTGAGTATTTGCACAGAATGCAGAAAAAGGAGTCTATTCCCCAAAGCTGGGGCACACGTTGTTTACTTCACCTTAGACCAGTTCTTTGGTCCGTCTCTTAGAGACTGTAATCAGGTTCAGGTTCATGTTCCTCTTGTGTGGGCTCTGGGAATCTGCACTGCAACTGAGTCCTAGGTCACCCAGTGCTTCACTGTGAAAGGGACTGCTGTGGCCCTCATTTCTGTCAGGTTTAGCCCTCAGGCAAGCAAGGGACAAGGGACTGCTGACCAGCAGGATGACCTTAGCTTCCCAGGCACCTTCAGCCATCTGATCTTTGAAAAGGGAGCAAAAACATATGCTCGAGGGAAACATAGCCTCTTTATCAAATGACACTGAGAAAAGTGGCTATCTACATGCAGAAGACTGAGTCCCAATCTATGTCTCTCTATGCACTCAACTCAAATCAACATAGATGAAAACTATTAAAAATGCCAAATCTTCAGGAAGATAAAATAGGTAAACCTCTTGAAGACAAAGGCATAGGCAAATATCTTTTAAACAGAGCCCCAGCTCCACAAGAAATATTGAGAATCAATAAATGGGATCATATCAAGTTGAAAAGCTTCTGCACAGCAAAGGAAACAACTAACAGAAAAAAGAGTCAACATATGGAATGAGAAAAAACTTTGCCAGCTACTCCCTGGACAGAATACTAATATCTAGATTATATAAAGAACTCAAAAAATTAGACCCCCTGTAAAAATAAGACCCAAACAAAAAGTGGACAAATAAAATGAACAGATACTTCTCAGAAGAATTACAAATGGCCAATAAATAAATGAAAAAAAAAAGTTCAGCATCTCTAGCCATAGAGAAATTCAAATTAAAACAACACTAAAATTCCTTCTTACCACACACACACAAAAATGGTCATCATCAAGAAATAATAATAACAACTACTGGTGAGACTGTAGGGGAGAAAAAATCTTTCTACTTTGTTAGGAATGTAAACCAGTACAGCCACTATGCAAATCTGTATGGAGACTGCTCAAAATGCTAAACCTAGCCATTGTATTTGACCTGGATTCCTCTTCTTGGTATCTTTCTGAAAGAGTTAGAGGCTTCGTGTTACAGTGATACAAGTTATAGCTGCACAACCCATAATAGTTAAATCTTTGAAGCGGCCTATATCTCCACAAACAGATGAATAGATAAAGAGAAGGTGGTATTTACACATAACAGAGCACTGCCTTTGCCAGAAAGAAAGACCAGCTTGAGTCATCTGCAGGAAAATTTGTACCTTGAGACCATGTTATGTGGAATATCTGACACATAAGCTTAACTGTCACATGGTTTCTCATACAAGAAACTGAAAATATACATAAAGAGCAAAATAAAAGGTAGACAACAGAAAACAAGGAGACAGATTTTGCAAATGACAAGGGCACCAAGAGATAGAAAGAGGGGCCAGTGAAGACGGGAATAAAAGGAATTAAGATGTGTTATATACTTGTGACAGCTCCCCCAGGAAAGTGATCACTTTGTCAGCACTGCAATTATGGACTTAAAAAATAAGGTAGGGAACCCCATTGACCTGAAGTCTGCTGGCCAAATGCTCTTTCCAACTGGTCCCTGGCTTCAGAGGCCCTAAGATGATGGCGAGGTAGGGAGGTGACACTGCGTCTCAAGTTCCTCAAACTGAGCTCATGCTTTGTCTTTGCTTTTTCCCAGTAGTGGTGTCAGGATGGGCATGAGAACCCTGCCCAGCCTACTGCCTGTTGCATGGCTCCATATGTTCAGCAAGGTGGCATCTGTGCCTGGCCCTGCCAATACCTAAAACAAGTGACTTACTTTCTTTAAAGGCAAAATCCATGTAGAGAAGATCAAAGTTTGTAAACTTCTCGCTGGCTGCAATTTTTTTCAGTGTATTGGAGAGTTGCTGTGCTCTCTGCGATGGAGAGAAATGGAGAATTCTGTGACACCTAGACTTTGACTTTCATGAGGCAATTCAGGCGGAACAAGAAATTCACTTTCCCCTCTTCATTCCCCACCTTCCTCCCTCTAAGCGGTGAGCGGAGACCGGTTCCACACATTCCATCCTATGCACGTACAAATGACCAAAGAACATAGGAAAAATGCTAGCTTTCATTAGGGATCAAATCAGGACAAATTTAGGTAATAAGGCACTACTTCTTCCCCATGGAATCGGCAGAGAAGCTGTGACCAGCCTTGCTAATATTGCATGTTGACAGGAGTAGGTGAGAATGTCGATTGTTTTTACGTTTTTAGACAGCAGTTTGGCAGCATGGATCAAATCCTTAAACCTGACCCTATGCTTTGACCCCATAAGTGCTTATAGGAGCTTGCCCTAAGGAGAGAGAGATGTACACAGAAGCATCCATCTTTATATGGGTGATAGTTCATTGCAGTGCTATTTATCATAGCAAAGGACCGAAAACAACCAATATGTTTAACACCAAGAGTTGAAATAAATCATGGTGCATTCATCGACTGTGTCCCTTAAAATGGTTGTGTTATTATGCTCAGATTTGTCAGTGCCGAGATGTATAAAAGAGGACATGGACATGTATTCTCATGCTACAAAGGAAGAAACCAAACATACTTGTCCTTAGAGAGTGTATTGGAAGTACATGTCTATGTGTAATGTTCTGGGTGGATTCTTTTTATTTTTTATTTAACGCCAAGTACATTTATTAGGAAAGAAGAAAATTATGAAATATCATCATATCTTTCCTTGAGAAATTAGAAATACAAGGCAGAATGAAACCAAAAATGAATAGAAGAAAATAAAGATGGACTTTTGTTATTTTTATGTTCTCTCTGTCTTTTAATTGAATATTTTTAAGACATTCAAATAAATCCTTTCCAAACAGGTTATTCATTGTTTGAAAATGAAGTACAAGGCACTTTACTTGAACAAGGGATTCTCTCTGAGGCCTGAGGAGATGCTCATTGACCTTAGGGAACCCAGGGCTGAACCTGCACATCTACAAACTGCCCAGTGTGTGCATGCACATGCATGTGTGTACATGTGTGTGTGTGCAAATGTGTGTGCAGGAATGGGAGAGACAGCAACAAATAGAGAAAGACACAGAGAGAAGAAGCAGGAGCCAGGGTGCCCCACATTCTCTAAACTCCTTGAGAACCCTAGCTTGATTTTGCCATTTAGCATCTTGGGAACTACCATGTCACCAGAAAACCATCTCCCCTAAAAACCACAGCAGATGAAGGGAGAGTGATCGAAGATGTGGCCCAGCGGCTAGGGACAGTCCTACCTCGGAGGTGAGAGTCCGGAGGGTCTTGTTGGAGGACATCCACCCATGGCAGGCATTGACCTAAAGATGGGAGAACATACTATGATCAAAGAACAGTGATGGGTAGCAGGTGTGCGTGCGTGCATGTGTGTGTGTCTGTGCACACGTGTGATGTGGCCTTGCAGCAAGTCAGTGGGCTCACCTGCAGGCAGTTCAGGAAGGAGAACAGCTGTGCGTAAGTCACGTCTTTGTTTAGCTGGCCTGGAAAGTAAGAGAGGTCCAGAATGTCACAGGCATTCAAACAGTGACATTTAGAACTTTTGGGAGCTGAGCTAACTCTCAGAAGAGCTGCCTTAACTTTCCTCTGAACATTGCTTTCTTTATTTTGGAGACAGGAGTTCAGGATGCTGTCCTGACTGACCTGGAACTCCTGGCCATAAGTAACCCTCCTGCTTCAGCCTCCCAAGTGCTAGGATTACAGGTGCTGTCACTATATCAGGCAGCACTGCTCTAGATGACTACGTGCTTTTTACTTCTTCTGTATCCCAGAAATTCAGACCCTGAGATGGAGAGGGGTCTTTGGAGTTTCCCTTAGAATTTTTGGCCTGGGTGAGGACAGGCTTGGGGTACTGGTCTCATCTTAACTCCAGGGTAAAGGAATCCAAGTGTCATGTGGCTTGGGGTGGACCCAAGTGTTTGAACGAAGCCCTTTGCAGGCACCAGCTCACTCCTGGCCATGGGATGCAACACTGAGTTCCTGTGGGCAAGGAGAAGCATTCACGCTGGTTGTTGATTGAATCCTCCTTGCCAAGTTTATGAAGTACTCAGGCCTGATCCAGTTATCCTGGGCCGAGGCCCTGGTAGGACATTCTGAGCGCCTGGAGCTCTGACCTTTGAGTATTGTGCAGCCTGTGGACCTGAAGGTCTTCACACAAACCTGGTCACGGGGGTAGGGGAGGGGCGATATCTTGCCTTCCTCCTTGGTCCCAGGCTGGAAGCTTCCCAGGGTCCCCTATGTGACCCTAATCAGTACAAATGGCCTAACTGTGTTTTGGTGCAGGTCACACACACCCATCAGAGTAAAAAGAAAAGAGATATGGGGTTCATCCAGGGTCAGCCTGAACATCACCACAGATCCAGAACCTCCTTCCACCTTGTCACCTCTAGAAGCAGCTGCCTGTCACGCTGTGGCTGCCACATAAAACCCAGGCCCCCTGACCTGCAGGCTGAGGGACTGTGAACTTTTCTGACACATTTGAAAAAAATCAAAGAAGATAATCAGACAGGTCTGAGGGCACAAAGGAAGATATCAGCGAGGGGACACGCTCTGATTCTCCAATTAGACCCCAGATGCATTAGACTGGAAGATGGAGTCAATTTGCCCAACATGGAGGAAAAATACATCACCTCTTTGTGTGAGTGAGTGAGACTGTGGGGCCTGGCCAGAAAGCTGCGGGCTTATTGCTGCCTTTAAAGTCATAGCAACCTACGGAGCTCTCTTTTTGATCTTCATGGTGTAGGCAGACCCAGTCTGCCCCAACTCTCATCTGCAGACAGCCTGGCCCCTGCCTGCCTCTGTGCCTGCCTGCTCTGTCCCTGATGGGTACTCTGTCTCTTGCTGGGTGACTGGTCAGGAATTACCCTCTGGCATTTTCCTCTCTCCACTTTCTGAAAGGTCTACAGTTTGTCCTGCTCAGTGATCACAGGCAACTTAACCACTGGTTGCTATTTTGGGGTTGAAACTGTCACACCTGTGCTCACCCTGACCCCTATCACCTTCTGGAGTATCCTACGCCTAGGTCCCAGCATGCCTTTCAAGGGGACCATTCCCCTCCATCTGATCCCTCTCCCCTTTCCCTCTATCTTCCTCCCATCTGGGCGCCAGCTCATGGAATCTGCCTGACAAAGGGACAGTGTTAGCTTAAGTGCCTGGGTATGCTGTTCCTAGGGTGCTCCCCCCTCTCTGTTGCTCCTGGTTTGGCCCCAGGGAGGCCGGCTGGGGATGCTGGCCAAGGGCTGGTGGCTTAAAGGAAAGTAAAAGTGAATGCTTTTCACACTTCTTTCCTGTCCTGATACTGCCAGCTGGTTACTCCCTCTTTCCTTTGTAGCTTTCCTGGTATCCCTGTGGCTTTAATGTGCTTTGCAACAAATCTTGCTCTCAAGATTTGTTCTATTTTCTGTGCCACATGTGTAGTGAAGCTGTCTCCTTGTGTCCTGGCAGGAGTGGGCAATGGACCTAGTCTCCTTCCAGACCTTCATTTCCTGTCAGTTAGGAGCTGTGACATTTCTTGTTTTCTTTGCTGAGGGCCCAGCTGTGTTCTGTCCCATGAAGGGAAGGGAGGGGACAGAGCATGTATCACCCACCATGGGTGGTGGCTTGGTAAGTACACAGGGTCTCTCACCACTTTTTGTTGAAGTTCAAACATGGATATAAACAGACCTTCCCTTCCCCTCCTGTGACCCCGGTACAGGACCCTGGGCACTGGACTCTAGGATCTGGCTGTCGGTTAGGATGAGATCTGCTCCCCTAAGCCAGAAAATGGTCCAGCACAGGGAATCCCACTCCACAGTGGGCTTCTGTCCCCTGGCAATGGAACACTAAGGCTGGGCTTGGGGATAGCAGTGGAGGAGACAGACTGTGTCTCTCTGTAAGTCTCCAGGAAGAGCCCCAAGGGACTGGGGAGGCTGGGCGCACCCATCCCTCCCTCCCAAGTCTTTCTAGAAAGGACCTTGATGCTTCGTCAAGAAATTTATCACTTATTTCCCATGGCAACCAGGCAGCAGGGATAATTTGGGATGTGACTAATTACTTAAAAATTAAACAAATTTAGATAGCCTGCACTTTTTCCCTAATTGGAATTTTTTCAAAACTAGGGTTATACTGGATGCATTTGTCCCATCTTTTTCTCATCCCTCTTTTGTGTTGTGGAAGGTCCGGGTATAGGGCGCCATGCTGCATATTCTGGGATGTTAGCAGCTACCCCGGACTACGTCCGTAGGGGCTTCGCAGCCTGGTGTGAGGAGGGTGGGGTGGCCACCTTCCCTCTGAGAGCCTGCACCTAGAGGACCCTCAGAAGTAGGTGCCCGGTTTCTCAACCACTTTTCCTCTTCCCTTAAGCCTTTCCAAGTGGCACGGAGCCCTTGTGGATTGCTCTTAAATCAGGCAGTCACCTGGCACCTGTGAAAGGATTTATGGAGGCAGGCTCAGCAGGGTGTGTAGAGAGAATGGGATTTAAAATGAGAAAAGAACCCAGAGTCCTGTCAGAGGTCCCTCTAGGTGTGAAGAAGTAAATTGGGTCACATTTTCCTGCTCCCTCCCCTCAATGTGTCTTCCTCAGGGATTTTTGAGTCTGAGGAAAATTTAGCAATTTAGCAATTAGGAATTCCTAATTCCATTAGGGAATCTATCGAGGGGAAGAACATGTTTATACCTGAAACAAAGAGGCGTTCTTAGCTTGCACGGCCGAGCTCTCCAGCACATAGGGAGTGGACTGTGGTTCTCCCGTGTGTGATCGATCCCACTTTCTGGGACCAGTGTCACAGGGTGTGAACAGGAGGAATGTGCTCCTAGCAAGCTGAGACAGTATCTGCTTGGGTATTAATATCTGTGGTGTATTTTGGTAAGTCCTGTGAACTTCATTCTCTGCAGAAGAGTTTGAATGTGACCTCTGCTGTATCCCCCCCAGGGAAGAGAGAAGCACTCCTTGAAAGCTGGTTAAAGGACTCCCACTCTCTTCAGAGCAGGATAGTGTTTCCTTGGGGAGGGAGGTGGCTCATGGCCACCCTTTGGAGTAGTTTCCACTGTAATCTAACCCTAGGCAGGGATTTGGGTGGTGGTATTCCCTGCTGGTTACCCAGTACCTGGAACTCTGCCTAGCACAAAGTAGGCACCTAATAAATAGTTTTGAAAGGACAGGCCCTGTGGAAAACAGAAAGCCTGGCCCTGCATACCTAGCTTTCACATACAAGGAGTTAGCTTTCCACATTTGACAGGCTATCTAACCTGTCTGAGCCCTATTATCTTGGTTAATGAAAGCATTGATCTTGCAAGGCTGCTACAGGATCAGCATGGTGGCCCTTCCTAACCCAAGCAGCTACCATTTTTGCATTGTTTGTACCCTAGCTGGAGAATTAGAGCTGCTGTTAGAAAGTTTCTGGGGCAAATTTAAAGCCTTTCAGAGCAAAAGATCCCCAGAATGCAGACACAGGGAACCATCTGCCCCAGGGACTGGCCACCAGGAGGCCTTCACACCAAGGGGCACCCCTCCTTTGACCTAGGCTTTGTGTCTTTTGCACTGTGTGTCGATTAAGGGGTTTTTTGATTTAACCTCCAACCTCTTCATGTGTCTTAATTTTTCATGAACTACTGTGCGTTTTCTGTCTCTGGACTGGGCTCTGCCCATGTATATTTGGGGAAATCCCTCTTGCCTCTGTGCCTCTGTTCTGGTTGGTACATTGTGCCAACTTGAGAAGTTTGAAAGTTTAACTAAGAGACTCAGCAGAGAGCCTGACTTCTTATCTTGTAAACATACTCATCCTTTGCAAGAGGAGGGCAACCAGCTTTTGTGATTGCTATACCCGCCCTAGGGAATGGTAGCTTGCTTATAATATAAGGGAGGAAAAGAGGCTTGCTATCCCTCTTTTTGCTCTGGCTGCTTTCGCTGGCTGCTGCCTTGAACTGTTGCCCAAGTGCCATGCCACCCTGCCTTGGAGCCAGCTGATTATGAACTGAAACCTCCACAAACTGTAAGCTAACTAAACCTTTCCTTCCTTCATTTTGGTTGTTGGGTATTTTGTCCCAGCAAGAGAAGAGTAACCAAGACAGCCTCTGACCTACATTCTGTGATGTGCTTTGGCCGTTCCTAGAAGGGCTCTGTGTACATCGAACCAGACATGTACAGACGTTACTAAAGTTTCTCAAATGGATACCGATAGGATGATATCTGTCGTGCAAGTTATCCCAGAGAAAGGTTCCATCTGGCAAGCCGTGTAAAACCACGTAGCTGCCCTTGGGCAGGTGGGAATCCAGGTGCTTCAGAGTCTCTGTGACGCTGGAGTAGAGCTGCTCTGGAGTGGTCATTTCTGGGATGGGGTCAGCCTTCCTGTGGGAGAAGGAACAGATCATATTTCAGTTAATTCCTGAGGATAGGGAATGTATGCAAATACAAGATACAGCGCACATGAGTACATGCGTGCACATACACACACACACACACACCCATCCACACATGCACACTGTGGTGGTTATGGGCACTGCTTTCCAAAACTGCCCTGGCTCTCTGCCTTCTGGCCTGTGGTCAAATTGTACTTCCCATTTCCTTTGTGGATGGGTAGATCATGTGACTGCTTTGGCCAATGGGTCTGGAACAGAACTGAGGAGGATCAGGCCTGGTGGTGTGAGAGCCCTTGGAATATTTTTTTTCTATTCTCCCCTTCTTTTCTATGAGAAGTCTTCTAGACAGCTATTCCACTCCTTGGAGTACTGGACATAGCCCCGCTGTGGTCCCTGATAGACGTGCAGCTTGGGTGGGAAGGAAATGCTTGATGCTTTATGCTGCTAAGATTTAGGGGGCTATTGTCCCTGCAGGACAAGATCACTTATCTTGACTTACACAAAAAGGAACCCAAGGGCTCTGGTTTTGCTTCTGATTTATTTGTAGCTTTGAGCTCTGAAGCTTGGTCTTTAAAACTAGGAACATATATCACAGTTAAGGAAACAGAATCTCATGGAGAAATGAAGTTATGTTCTGTATCTGCACTTCATCCTACTTAGGGTCCCGCACTCTGTACACTGAATTTGAACTTCTGTGCATGTCCTAATAGATTCCTATGCTGTGCTGCACCGCGGCAACATTATTTACCCAATAACTCTGCTTTGCATCATTGTCTTTCTCTATATATCAGCGGTGGTGCTGTATAAAGAATTATTTTAACTTTAACTCCTATGTTCTGCTCTCCTTATTTCGTGGAAGTTCAACAGAACAGAAAGTGCTAATGTTAGTTATGAAATCAAGCATCTAAGTCAATGAGAGATCATAGGTGAGCTGACAGTAGACCATCTATACCTCCACCAGACATTTTTTGAATTTAAGGTGATGGATTTACTTTGCAATGGGTATAGAAAAGAACAGAAGTAAGGAATATACAAAATTCTTTGAATACATCGTTGGAAGTTATGTTAATTTTGTTTTGTTTTTTAGTTCAAGGATTTGAACTCACAACCTTGCACTTGCCAGGCAGGTACTGTGCTACTGATCCATATTCTTGGCCCAGGTTATGTTAATTTTTTATTTATACACATCTATCTATCTATCTATCTATCTATCTATCTATCTATCTATCTATCTATCATCTATATCAGTCTGTTTAAAAGGCAAGGGGTAAATTGGAATAGTAGAGTTTTTTGGCATGAATCCATGATGATTATTGCTCATTTTTTGCACAGCTGAGTCCTCAACACATTTTCAGAACACACCAAACATGGATTAGGATGCAAACTGCGTAACCCCAAGGAATAACTGCAGCATTCTCTGAGGCTTCCACTTGGTCTTCAGGTGGTAAATTGCCTGTTGTTAACCTAAATAGAATTACACTAGGGAGCTGTTTTCTATTCTGAGTTCTTAAAATTCCAGATTTCCCCAATGATTGCAAAGTGAGTTGAACAGTGTCCCTCAGACTGTATTTATATATATTATAATTATTATAATACATTATAGTTATTTAATTATAATATATAAATAGTAATAATAATTGTTATTGTTGATAGTTTCTTGAGAATGAGTCTCACTGTGCAGTTCAGACTAGCCTAGAACTTGCTATGTAGTCCAGGCTGGTCTCCAGCTCACAGGGATCCTCCTGTGTCAGCCTTCCAAGTACTGGGATTGCAGACATGAACTACTATCTTGCTTGGTTACATTATTTTAAATCAGAGCCTTTGCAGATATTAGTTGAGATGAGGTGATACTGGACTAGGAGGACTGGGATCCTCATCAGAAGAGGAGCAGACGCTGATGCACACAGGGAGGCTGGAGAGACCTGGCTACGCACCTAGTTGCTGAGAATGCTGGTGCACACAGAAAGAGACAGGAAACATTTTCCCTGAGCTTTCAGAGGAAGCTTGATCTTGCTGATACTTACTTTGGACTCCTAGCTTCCAGAACGATGTGAGAATATCTTTCTGTTCCCTCAAGCTCCCCAGTGTGTGGTACTGGGCCATGCCAGCACCAGGGAATACAATGTAGATCCTATGCCCCACAAAGTGATGCTTCCTGTACTCTGAGGCTGGACCAGGAGCACAAATATGGGATGAGGTGACAGGACAAGGCCCCTGGAACATCCACTGGTCTCAACTTTTATTGTCTCTCTTTCTTCCTTCATATCCTTCTCAATTTTTAAGGGATCTCCTAACTGAACATTGTCATTCTCTTTCAAAATGCATCCAAATTTGAAGGTGGCTTAACTTCAGCACTGGTGATTGAACCTGGGAAGCACTGAACTACTTTTTTTATTATTGCTCTTTTACCTTTTTATTTTGAAATAGTGTTGCTAAATTGTTCAGGCTGATCTTGAACTTGAGATCTTGTTGCCTCAGCTTCCTTAGCAGCTGGAATGATAGCTATGCACCACCAAACCTGGCTAACAGTGGATAATTTATTTTCTTTTCTTTATAGTTATGGGGATAGTACCCTTCATATTGAGCGACACCGCCTGTCAATTGTTTGCTTGTTAATTTATTTATTACATTTTGAGACAGACTCAAACTTGCAATCACTCTGCCTCAGCATCCTAGAGTTCTGGGATTACAGGGTTGCACCACCAAAGCAGCTCAGTAATGAGGTTTAATATTTACTGGTGGTTGGAGTGTGACAGCAATGTTGGCATGAAGGGTGATTTGGGTATCTACTTGCCTGCCTTCTGCCATTGGTAGAGGTGGCATGCACTTCCTGTAAGCTCTGACCTTGCTACCTTCTTTGTTTTTTTTTTTTTTTTCTGCTGATGGAAAAACACTTTTGCACAAAGTAATTGTGGAGCTCTTCACCCACAAAGGTAGGATGAGTTAAAATGGAGGAAAACCCCCTAACACCCTATTTAATGATTATTTTTTATTAAAAGATACAACCCTGATGATAAGCAAATAACCTGAGCTAATTTGTATTACTTGTGGAAGGGCATCCCACAAACTAAGCAAGCATGCTCCAAAAATATTTCTAAGTCAAACCAAAATGGATGCCCCAGTGTTGCTCACGGAACATTTTCTGGATGACTTGGTTCTGCCTTACATAGCTGTGTGATTTACCATTGCACAAATTGTCAGTTAAATCTTTCTTCAGAGCAAAATCAACCAACTCCTGGTGCAGGGGAAGGAAAGATTTATGGCGCTGGTGGTGATCACTCCTTCTGACTGCCATAGAAGATGTTTTGTGATCTTTCTCCAAAAAATTCCCAAAGTCATTTGATCATCGATGCACTCTCTCTCCTCTGGTGATATTTTAGGGGATTAAGTACAAATATTTTGGGAGCCAGAGAGCCCCTGTGGTTTGGAAAATATTGCCTACATCTCTCTGATGTCTGCCAAATCTAAATGGACTGAGCTGGAGGTGCCTGATCCTCTTTAATCCAGGTATTTGGAGATACCATATCTGGGCCACCCTACCATACTGGGTTTGTCCATTGTTATGGATTTAAAATGTCTCTTAGGGTCTCAAGAATCCAGAAATGGAGCTTTGGAAAGTGATTGGATCATGGGGTGCTATTCTTATCTGTGGATTCATCTACTGATGAATCTCTAGCTGCATGTGTTATGTGAAGAAGTAAGGTTCCCTGGTTGGAAGTCGGTCACTGAGGGTGTGACATGGAAGGGTGCATTCTTGTCCCCAGTTCCTCTTTTTTCTATCTGCTTTCTGCTCATGATGCAGTGAACACCTTTCCTCTGTAGGACTTTTCATTATCATCATGCTCTTGCCATGTTGACCATGGACTGAACCCTCGGAACCATAAGCCAAAATAAACCTCTACTCTTTTCAGTTGCAAGTATTGGATATTTCCCCATAATGACAAGAAACTAACTAATATACCCACCTGCTTCCATACCTACACACTCTGCCCCTTGTCTCATACTCTCGGATGATAGGTGAGGGGCCGGGAGCACCTCACTTACCGAGAAGCACTCATACCTCCTTAGGGACACAGTGACTACAGCTATGGTCATAATGAGAGCCAGGGCTGGGCCTACTGACACACTCTTGCATGTCAGAAATAAAGGGCCAGGCCGGGAACAGATGAAGAGCCTTGCCCCTTGGGGTGGCTCAGAAGCCTGTTCTTGTCCTAATGAATTGTGCTTGGTCATGCAAAATAAGCCCTTTCACTTGGGTGTAGGGCTGGCTGTGACCATTTCATTATGCTGTGGCAATGCCAGCTGAATATCATCTGGCTGATGCCAGAGAGAGAGAGACAGAGAGAGAGAGAGAGAGAGAGAGACAGAGAGACAGAGAGACAGAGAGACAGAGAGACAGACAGAGACAGAGAGATAGAGACAGAAAGGGAGACAGAGGCAGAGAGACAGAGACAGAGACAGAGAGACAGAGACAGAGAGACAGAGACAGAGACAGAGCCAGGGACAGAGAGACAGAGACAGAGACAGAGAGAGAGAGAGAGAGAGAGAGAGAGAGAGAGAGAGAGAGAGCGCTCTGGGGAAGAAAGCAGATAGCTTCTGCAGACAACAGTCTCTTGGAACCAGAGCTGGCCTGGTGTGACAGAGTGCAGACCTCACATATGGCCAGCACTCATGCTTTTGAATTATCTAGGAGGAGAACTGAGCTCTTTCCTTCATGCCAGCCAGTTGCAATCACAGAGATCCCATCCCAGAGATGAATCCCTCAGCCCCGGTGTTTGCATCCCTCCCTGGAAGACAGATACTCTTGATTTCTCACCTATCATCTGAGTGTCTAGGTTGATCTCACTGATGTGTGGCCAGGGGTATCCAGACATTGCAGTGGTGAGCAAAGCTGAGATGGCAGGGTGGTCTGGACATAGTGTCCCAAATACTTGGTTGGTGTCTTTGCCAGAAGCATCATGACACAGACTGGGAATGGACTGGGGAGTCACTGGGCTCCCATTCCCCCATGCATGGGAAGCCCCTGACCTGGAGCACGTTGGCTAGGTGGAAATTCCTCATCACCTCCTTTGCCACTCATGTTTCTGACTGTGGGGTTTAGAAGATAGAATTCCTTAAAAAGCAGTTCTGTCCATTCCCTTTCCTGCTGGTTTTTGGACAGCAAGAGTCACCAGCATTCCAGGGTTCCTGGGGCCTGTGACCTGACAACCCCTCGCCTGCTTCCTCTCTAGGTGGTGCTGGCCAGCTGCCCCGAGTAGATCCAAAAGCATCAACATTGTAGGAAAATGATGCTTGATGGTCAGGGGGACAAGGACAATCTATTCTGCCTCTCTTCATAGGGTAAGAATATACAATTTATAATTTCTATGTCCACTTTGAAAAATGGAATCAGGCCAGTGGATCTGGCTGTTATTAGAGGCTTGTATAAATCTGTCACACTTAAAGAAATCACAGTGTTCTTTTCAGGGATATCATGGCAGGACATGGTGGAAAGGCTGTCATTTGCCTTTATAACTGGATGCTTTAAGGACATCCCCAGTTCTCCACCACTGCCTTTACTCCTATAAGGTTCTCTTGCTGTAGCTCACCCACATTTATTTTTTCTGGGATTTCTCTTCCTTTCATATCACTCCCATTAAATAGAGTTCTATAGAGTGCAGTGCCAGTCAAATTGAGCCCTGTAGTGAGGAGAAAGCGAGGAGCACCTGTATTTCCTTCCTCTTTGAATTCCTGACACTAAACGCTGTCTTCCGATTGTGACCTTCGTTCATTTAAACAGCATTTATTGGGTAGCTACATGAGTTAGAGAACTTAGAAAATGAGTCCATAGCAACATTATTTCAGTAAGCGCTAACAGCATCTTAAAAGAGGAGACAAATCCAAACAAGTATCCTAACATTTGTTCCAGGCCAGACTTGCTATGCAACTCTGGGCTGGCGTGGGCTTCATATCCCTTTGCTCATTTTGGGATGTCTCCTCTACCTTGGTGCTGGCAGACAGGGAGGTAGCATTGCCATCTGTCTGTATTTTTCTAACCTCTCCACGGGGCATCACAACAAGGGCACTGCAGGGACATCTCACACTGCCAGCTCTGTTCTTCCCCCCAAATGCTTGCCACTTCTCTGCCCAGATCCCCTTGTGGGAGAGCCTGGCACAGGTTGCTGGCCGAAGGCTGTCTGCTCTTCTGCTCTTTGGCAAAGGGAAGTAGGACGGGGCTGGAGGGGCTTCCTGGTGAGCAGCTGTGCTGGGAGAGGACGGGGATGTCAACCTTACAGCCTTTGCCTGCAGGTGGTCTTCGTTCAGAGAGCACATTTGCTCTCTGTTCCCACAGAGAAACTCAACTGGGGGTTTTAGGATATGGGCTGGCTTGGTTTCTTGTACTGGGGGTAGGGCTCAGTGTTCTTTTTCTGTGAGTTCATGAGGTTAGAGACTGTGTCTGTCCCAGTGCAAAGAAAGCTGAGAAGGCCACCATGCACCGCAAAGAGCACAGAATATGATTGGAGGACCTCATTTGGCTCCTAGCTCAGCTACTCAGCAATAGTATGAGCAGGTCCTCTAACCTTGAGAATCTCAGTTTCCTTATCTGTAAAATGTGTATGTTCAGCCTTGCCCCCTAGGACCAACCACTGTAGGGATCATGTGACAGAGAGTAGCATAGCTCCTGGCTCCTGCTGTGAGAGTTCCAAGCTCTCCTGGGGGTGGGAGTTGTCTGTTATTGGAAAGTCCCAAATGACTTATCCCATAGGTGGGAACCTCTGATGACTTGGAGTCCTTGGAAGAAGAATGAACCAGCCTGGTAGGCTAAGGCCGAGTCTGGTGGCCCACTTCTAGCCCCAGGGCTTGGCGGCAGATCTGCCACTGATCAATTTGTCATGCAGTGATTCATGCAAACCCTCCTGGCCTAGCTTTCCTGCTTTCTAGAGAAGTAAGTGGGTGGCCACTGTGAAGTTGCTCTAGATTCTGTTCCACCTTTTATTTATTAATTTTTTTCTGGCCATAATCACAATCCAGATGGCATTCACACATGCAGTATATTCTTAGGGATATGTGTAGATTTTGATGAGCCTCCCCAAATGTTCAGGGGGTAGCTAAGGCAGTCAATATTTTGAAATCACTGTCGATACCAACAGTTTAGCAATACTATTTTCTCACCATGGGCTATGGGCATAAGCAGGATTGGCTGTGAGTTATGTGCAGTTTCTTTGCAAATGCTGTAAGTCTATGCTGTCTCTTTCCCAGGAGAAAATGCATCAGAATAGGAATGCAATTGTCTTCTTAGGGAGTAACTGAGATTCTGCTTTATTTCATTTTAAAACATAGTCCTGGATTCTTAATCTTGAATCTTGGTTAGGAGCAGCACATTTCTTGTGATACAGCTGACAGTTGACCTTGACATATTTATTTGTAGTGATGTCAGAATTAGTCATAAATGGACTGGACATAGGATTTCTGGTGTTACAGATCATTTTTGATGTTTCACAGATCTAGGGCTTGCTTAAGATAAAGAGAACAGCAGGCCATGAGAATGGAGTGGAGCTGGTGGAGAATGGGGTGGAGAAGAGGGGAAAGCCAGAGCTAAAGAATGCTAAAGCTCTTTCTCAGCGACTCACCCATTGCAGACATCATTTCCGATCATGGCATATATGACGATGGCCGGATTGTCCAACAGCTGGTTCCTAGACAAGCTGAGAAGCCACAGATAGAATCTGAATGTCAGGCATTTGGAAAACTAATTTTATAATCAGAAGCACAGCCTAGGCCTGGAAAAGATCTTTGTATGACCATCATCCTGAAAAACATTGTTCTATTTTTCTTACTTTCCAGTATAGCTAATTACCATTCATAGTCCCTTCTTCCCCCCTGTCATTTCTGACTCACTTTCCTATTAGGGAAATGCCACATCAATGCATAAAATTGAAAAGAGGGAACTGAAATCCCAGGCGAACAGGCACACTGCCATCTCCTTAGCATCATTCATAGAATTTTTTTTTTATCAATAATAAACATGGGTGAGTTACCTTGGTCACTCCTGCCCAGATTCACAAGACACCTGGACTGCTATGGATGCACAGTGAACTTCAAAAAGAGATGGCCTTCCTGAGGTCCTTCATTCAGAGCACTGCTGAATTTAGCCTCGCTTCTGAATGTTTTCAGTTGTTATTTTTTATTAGTACACACTTGCACTATATACTGATTACATTCCTTATGGGGAATTGATATATATATATATATATATATATATATATATATATATACATATATATTCACAGCTTAATTCTTTTTCATCACCTTTCCCTCCCCTTCCTCTCTTTCCCTACAGCATCTATCAATCACTTTCTCATTTGAACAAAATCTACCTCCCTACTTCCTATGATCTTTTATTTGCTCTTTATTTATATTTTGGTATCTCATGTAAGAGGTACCATGTGGCATTTAAGTTTGTGTGTCTGATTTATTTCATTCAACATGTGGTCTCAAGGTACATCCATTTCTGAATTTTAAATCCAAAATACCTACAAAATATTTCCATACTCCATAATATAGACTATGACATGGTCTTTTCTGTTTCTTTCTGTTGCTTCTGTTAGCTCTAAGCTTTATTCAACTCATGCATATTTGTATTCTTCCAGGGCATCTACAAAAATGAATTGCTTCCTAGCTTACTGGTGTATGCAGTAACACATCAATGTTTGCATAGTGATTAACAATCTATCAGTAGTCAGTACAAATGATTACAGGGAACAATAGTGTTATGGCTTGAATCTAGATGTCCCCCAAAGCCTTATGTGGTCATAGGTGAGGCTTTTCGGAGGTGGCTGGATCTAAGGTGTATGATGCTTGGATCAAGGACATGATTCTGACATTGACTCATGGTGTGATGTGAGGATTGGGTGCCAGTGGTACCCAGCCTTAGGGCAGGTGGCCTACATAGGATATAAAGGACAGGAGGAGGGTCGTGGCTTCTCAATTTCTATTTCACTGCTTTTCTGCTCACCATGAACTGCTTCTCCTCTATCATGCCACCCTGCCTGGGAGCCAGCCAGCTATGAGCTGAAACCTCTACAAACTGTGAACTGAAATTCACCTTTCCTCCTTTAACTTTGGGTGTCAGGAATGTCATCTCAGCAACAAGAAAAGTAACTAAGACAAATGGTTATTTCATTCCTTTTTCAAAATAAGAAACTAAATTTAAGAACAAGTCTTTAGATTCATTGACCACCTACCTTTCTATAAACTTCTTCAGATTTTGGGAAGATGCACCTGAATAATTAAGATTGAGAAAATGAAATGAGTGAGTTCAATTTGACAATTTGGCAAGATGAAGGTCTAAATTCATGAGAGAAGTACTTTTGTACAAACTGAGTCATCCAGACCATCATATTGATGAAAATAATTTGTTTCTGAATTTCTGGAGTGTTTTTATCCTGGAACTCTCCTTAAGGGATTTTCTGTTGACGTGGCATACACTAACAACAAAAATCCCTTCAGATTCACTGATCTCAAGACATTTCCTAGGCATGAAAGAGTAAACATTTTAGTCAATGTGAGAAAAAATTGTATCTCTATCACCAAAGAGATAAACTTCCCAACATATTAAGAGTTGAAGCATCAGAGGAACAGTGGAACAGATTCTTTGAGAAGCACACATGTCCCCAGAGAGTCCCTTCCATCTTTTCTTTGGATTCCTGCTCATTCCTGGGCTCTTTCTGGCTGACTACTGCAAGGGTTAGTTGCAGAGCTGATAAGTTTCAACTCTTGCAGTGGGATCAATGACCATCCTCCCCCAAACCCTGCTGCAACCTTGTTATGGCTTAGACCTGGATGTGCCCTCAAAGCCTTATGCACTCCAAGGCTGGGCTTTTGTGTGGGGGAGTGGTAAGTGGATCTTGAGGGTGCTAGATTCATGGTGGATTAGTCCATGTTGAATTCATAGCTAAATGTGCTCTTGGACTGTGGGACCTGGTCAAAAGTGGCGGGTCATGGGGGTTTATCTTTCTCCCCTGCTCCTTCTTTATATTTCTACTTCCTATCTACCACACCATGAGCAGCTGGCTTCCTACAGCTCTGCAATGGTCATATATACCTCATATGTATAACATTCAATGAATTTATTTCATTCAGCACACTATTAAACACCTGAGCTTTAGTACTACTGCCAGGTAGGGACTGAAGAATTTCCATTCTATAGGTAAGGAAATCAAGGCTCACTTAAGGGACCTGCACAAAGCCATTAGACCCTTACACCCAACTCACTGGGTCCTGGCTTTCGGCGAAACTCTGATTCTCATCTAGGAAGACTGAAGTCAAGCAGGCAGCACCTTTTTGTTCCTGGAGGATTCTTCAGTAGTAAGAAGTAAGCAGACTTCTAGAGGGTGCTGCAATTCATTGGGTGAGATTTGGAGAAGGAACATCCAGTTGCTCTTTTTCATTGGAAGTTTCCTCCAATGACCTTCAGTCTCAGAAGTGTGGAGGACAGGTGTGTGTGTCCTGGAGGGCAGTCATGGTCTGGATGGGCACACTAGCCCTTGTCCCCTTGAAGCTGTGCCAACATTGGTGATGGTCTCTTTGTTACATAGAATTAGCTATAAGTTGCATGGGCAGCACTGATATTCTCTCCATTGAGTCACGAATGATAGCACAGCAAGCATATTCTCATTGCTGTATAACGGTCACCACCACTACCATCTCTGGAACTTCCTCACCAAACTCCCACCTCAAACTGATACTCTAGAGTCATTCTTCTGGAAGATAGGTTTTGAGAAACATATTTGCTCTTTGTCTCCACGATTTAATTGTTACAAGTGGGACATGAACTATTTTCCTTTTGTGTCTTATTTCACTTAGCATAATGTCCCCAAGAATCATCCATGTTGTAGCACATATCAGAACTTCTTCCCTGTTTTAGGCTGCATAATATTCCTTGGTAAACATATGCCATATTTTGCTCATCCATTGATGGATGCTTGCACTGTTTTCACCTTTTGGTTAATAAAAGCAATGCTGCTGTGAACACTGGCGTGCGTATATTGGTTCAAATTTCTGCTTTCAATTCTTTGGGACGTATAAACCTATTTGGAAATGCTCTTTTATATGGAAGTTTTATTTACCCTTTTTTGAGGAAATTACATACTGTTTTATCTTCTTTTGTAGTAAGCCAAGGCATTATTAAAAATGCATGCAGCCATGCAAATCCAAGGTGGCTGATCTGTCTCTGCATGCGTGAATGAATTCCTTCTCCCACGTTATTCGTATGTGAGCACTGGGCACATGCCTGCCACCTGGTAGAGGAGCAACAGATGAGCTGAGCCCAGCCTCTGGACCTCAGGAGCAGCATGTCTGGGGGGAGATACATAACTGATGCTGGGAATAATATTGAAAGGTCAGTGCAAAGCTTGAAGAGTGGGGAAGCATGTAACCGCGGGCCAGTGTCTCAGCTTGGGAAGGTTCCTGATTTTATAGCATTGCTTTCCAAGTGGAACAGGACAGCAGCCCTGCACGCTCTCAAGTCCCCATGGTGGCTCTCTCATCTGCGGAGTCTTCAGATCCATCCCATGGCTCCCACTTTTCCATTTCCATCAGGATAATAAATCAGGAGGTGTTTAATTCTCACTCTTCAATTGTTCTCTTAATGAGAAATGAAAACTAATGAAAGCTCAAGGCAAGAGTGGGGAAAAATGATGGGCCCGGGCTGGGCCAGTGCTTTTCTTCATTATCTAGAGTACAGGTGGGAATTCGAGGTGTGGAGCACCCACGGAGCGTGAGGAACTCACAGATGGAAGCCTGCTGGGGCTTCTGTGTGGGCAGCTCCTCTCTGTATCCAACACTGCTTCTGTCCCCTTACTGCAAAGGACAAGGACAGCAGACTCAGCACCGCTGATCATAGTAGGTTTAAATAAAAAAGCAATCACACAGCTACCCAAGGAGCAAGAAACTGCTGATTCTTCTTTATCCAGATTTTTCTTTATTTTGTCTGGTTGGTGTCCTTGGTGCAAGCACAGATCTCTTTTCCTTCCAAATTTCTTGCATCTTTCGCCATTTCTGCTTCCTTTCAGAAACCTTAGTTTTATGAGGTTATCTAAGTCGTTTACCACGGCCCTGTCACTTTCCCCTATTCCCTTTTCTGTTGTTCTGCCATTATTTGGTTCTGTCTGCCTCCTTCCCTCACTCTGTTGTTCTCTGCTCCCAGGTACAGTCATGTCCCCAGCTGCCCCTTGCTGTTGCATTTAAAGATGGTGGTAGCTGGAGCTAGAGGGTATGAACAGCTCTTCGTCCGTAGGAATGCAGCAAAGCAGGTGCTTTGATGAACTTGAACTTGGAAAACATGCTCTGGCTTCTACAATGACAGTTTAGAGAAATGGGAAAAGCTTGAGCTTAGAATGGAGGTATTTAGAGAGGTCAAGGTGGGACAATGGAGAACCTGTCTGTCTCCAGTTAAAGGTTTGTGCTTTAAGGTCTGAATCCTGACTCTGTGTGTGGGTCTCTTGTGAATAGAACATACAGTACATTACTGTAGAGGGCGCACTGCAAGAACAGAAAGGCTTCACCTGATCTCAGCACCCGTCAGTTCTCCCTAAATGAGCTTCAGCTCTCATTTCCACGGCTGGCCTGGCTGATCACGCCAGCGAACACCTCACAGTCTGTGCATTTAAATCAACTGGTGTGACAATTTTTATGGTCTTTTAAATGAGTTTGAACTCAGTTCTGTGGCTTAGAATAGACAGTAGTTCTCTAATTCTTCATGGCAAGAGAGAATATTGACAAGGTAGGTTAAAAAAGAGTCAGTGTTTAAACGAAAATTACATTAAATATGTATTATGAATCTCCTTTCTTTTAATTTTTTTAATATAAAAACAAAAATAGCAAGATATATTATGGTAGCCATTTTGGATTTACGATTGTCTTGTTTTGAAGTCCTTTATTGCATTCATTGTTTTGTTTTTACTTTTTATTGTTCTGTTTTATTTGATTTTTACTATTTCTGAAGGTTTCTGCAAGCTATTTTGAAGATAAAAAGAAACATTATGGTAACCATCGTTGATTTTTATTGTTGTGAAGTTCTGTGTCACTTGCACTGGTGTGTTTCGATTGGCTTTGTTCTGTTTTATTCTGCTTGGTTTTATTCTTTTTAAAATAAAAAATAAAAAATAAAAAATAAACAAAATGAAGAGGAGTATTTTGAGGAAGATTAATGGTGATGTAGACTTTGTGTATAATATACTTTTAAAATTTAAACACTTGCTATATATATATGTTTCTATCATAGCTGGTAAACATATATTCATAAATTAGGCAATTCATTCATTTGGCCACATTTATTGAATACTTAGTATATAGCAAGCATTGCAATAGTTGCTGGGGACACATCAGGAAATAGAAAAGATGTGATCTCTTTTGTGTTTTTTTGTTTTTGAGATGGAGTTTCGCTATGTAGTTCAGGGTGGTCTTGGACTCACTATGTAACCCAGGCTGGCCTTGAACTCTCTGCAACCCTCCTGAGTACTGGGATTACAGGAGTGTGCCACCACACCCAGCTATGATTTTGGTTTCCATGTGGATTCCAGTTATTACACAAGTAATGAGCTTGTGGTGTTGGGTTCAGAGAAATGCCGAAGAATTGGTGGTGGATCCTGAAATAAGTGCTGGCATTTCCCTTCCTAAAGTCTTATTAATTAATACCCACTAAACTACATGACACTTTTGACACCACTCAGAGACAGAGCTCTAAAATTCAATGCTGAAGTGGTTGTGACTATGTGTATAGGGCAAAACACACGTAGGTTTTGATAATTCTGAAGCTGACTTCATTGAGAGAATTCTCTTTAAGAAAAAGAACATAAAACACCCAGAGCATGTCCTGACACTAGATGAAGCTAGAGTGGGAGATGGGGTCATAGATTTAAAATACCTTAGGTTGGCCAATTTTTTTTTGTTTTTTGTTTTTTTTTTTGTCTTTTTCATTTTTATCGGTACCAGGGATCGAACTCACGACCGCCTGCTTGCAAGGCAGGTACTTATGCCACTGAGCTAAATCCCCAGCCAGGTTGGCCAATTTTATAAATAGTCTGTTTGACATGCAAGCAGATGACCCTCAAGCTTCCAAAATCTGCCTCCCAGCACAAGTCTGGAGTGACTTCCATCAGGAAGCCAGATTTTACAAGCATTAGCCCTGGAAGCATCTGGCCAGGTAGCCCATTTTATAGACCATCCCACAGACAGAAAGAGGTTTGGCTGAAGTCTTGTAGCAAGTGCAGGTGTCTCAG